TATAAATGCGTATGTAAAGGTGTATATACATATATGTATATGTGTACATATATGTATGTATACGCATATGTATGTATGTATGTATTTACGGAAGGAAATAAACCTTAAAAGCTCATATAAAAAGTAAAGAAAACCGATTTGCATATTATTATACATATATGTTCATATATATATTTGAAAATTGTCATTAAAATATTTGTATGTCTTGTTGTAACATTTATCAAGTTATGCGTGTGTTAAAATAAAATATATTTAAAACAGAAAAGCAAATGTAATAAAAAGCCGTAAACCAAACTATGAATGTAAAATTTATCTAGAGCGTATTACAAAACAAATATATGAAATGAAAATCACTTAAGTAAAAATTTAAAGCAAAACAATACATATACATACATATGTATATACATATGTGTATGCATATATGTGGCTGCATTTTAGACTAGTTTCTCGTTAAATTCTAATTCAATTTGTCCTCGATATTGTGTGATCTTATATATTTGTTTCCTTAAGTTTAATTTAGATATATAAATATATATGTCACCTTTATATTATATTTGTTTGCCAACCAGGAATTAATCGAAATCGAACTAAATGAAAATACTATAATTATGCTTAATTTATTTGTAAATTTTATTCAACAACATAGACATTTATATATAGTATATATATAGGAACTATATGTATACCTCCCTCCTGCCCGGCACTGCTTCATACACACACACGCACATAACTAGCTCTGTTATCAGTGTGCCTATCGTTTATCGATCACTATTTAGCTGAATGTTATTGCGCCTAATCTCTCGAAAACGTTCACATTTTAAATTATTATATATTCAATAGACATTCATCGATTTATACTATATACAATGACTCGAACATGATATATGAGGTATTTCATTCAATATAGCATACGACAAAGAAGAATTGCATAAACATATGTAAGAAATGAGAAATTAATAAATAAATCCACAAAGTCAATAATGTATGAATGTTAACTATTTCAATGACAATAATAAAATGTTAAAACCAAATCATTTTCTGTTTTGATTTGCTGTTTGCAATTCATTGCGAGGGTTGCCTAACAAACATAGATATAGATAGATCTAATGATCCAGTTGAACATTTCTTGATTTGCCCTCAAGGTATTTCTTGTTATTTTTATTTTTTTTGGGTCACCCTAAATCTGTTCCACTTTAATGCATGTACTTTTTATCGCTGATTAGAGAGAGACAGATGTAATTATGCTATTATACTATATAACAGTTTTGATTGGATTTTAGTATGGTATAGTATTTTTTTATAGACTGGGAGACGCAATCTGGCGAATTTTTATTCTGTAATTCAGTATTTTTGAGGAAGTATTTAGGGAAAATTTGCTATATCACGCATATGTGACGACTTTATATATTTCTTAGGTATCACAGAGAGCAGTGAACTCAATAGACAATAGAGTATATGATTGAATGGTTCCAGATATCATATCGAGAAAGATAACATTGTACAATCGAATTGAGCCACAATAACCAACAGTAAACATTTCTACACAGTTTAAAATGTACTTGAATGCACCTGTATTTAGTTAAATATACAAATATATATATATTGTATAACTAATTCTCTATTCTATATGCCTCACAGCTCGCATAGCACTACACAGAGGTATTCCTAGGGCTAAAAACAAAACTGACTAATCAATATTAAAAGGCTTTCTTTCTCTTCGGCACATTGCGTCGCTTGCCATAGTCCACCTCGCTGACCATCAGAGGATCGTTGCTCTGTCGCTGGTAGGCCGCCTTGGCACCAGTTATGCGCGCCTGCTTTGGTGCTGATTGTGCTGTGCTGTGATTTAGAGCAACGCGTTTCAGCGCGCTAGGCAGTATGTATTCGGGCACATGGGCGAGATGCGATTGTACTTTAAGGGTGCGCGAAGGCTTGTCATGGCGCAGCGCCATCAGATCGCGCTTGTTCTCCTCGAAGAAACCCTTGAGCTTCTCACAGTTTAGTATCTCAGTTTTGATCTCCTTAATGCGTGTATCGTGGACCGCAACGCGTGTGGCAGCACGCCAGCAATCATTGGCGCGATAACGGAACGCTTCCACTTCCTCCAGCTTGAATTGATAGGGCCTACAAAGGGAAGAGTATTCAGTGTAAGTATACGATGATATGCGAGCGAAGGTCGTGCTGTAGTTGTTTTACTTGATGATATTCTCTGTTGGCTTCTGTGGCTGATCCGATAGTGCATCGACTGTCAGATGCGGCTGCTTGCCCAGAGATATGCGTAGCTTCTCCTCCACTGCCTGATTGATGGGCGCCTCCTTGATGCTGACAAAGGACAGAACGGAGCCTTTGTTATTGCCACGAGCTGTGCGACCAGCTCGATGTATGTAGGAGGTAACGTCGCGTGGAAAGTCAAAGTTGATGACATTATTGACACCCTGAAAGTCGATGCCACGCGATGCGCTCGACTCATGATCGTTTTTCTGTTGACCGCCTTTGTTCTTCGTTTTGCCCGCCGGCTTCTCCAGCAGATGCTCATCGGAGGCAATTATAATGTCGTAGACACCACGATTAAACTGATTTATGGTATGTATGCGTATATTGGCGGGCAGCTCTGAATTGAGAACGCACGAGCGTATGCCAAACTGTTCCAGAAACAAACGTACTCTAGCGGGAGGTAAGAAGAGAATGTTGTTATAGTATATGCATTCACCAGAGTCTCAATTACAATAGCCTAATGAGAGCCATCAGAGAGAAGATTAGTCAATGGTCATGCGTGCGCCAATTGTTGCCAATTGCGCAATCCCAAACTGAAGTTGATTTCATCATCGGCTCAAGATTCAGTTGCTACAGATGCTATAGCCCGCTTCACTTACTTATAGCAGCGATCCACATTGTTCACAAAGATGATGCTCTTGCCCTGGATGAGCATTAGCTTCAGCAGAGCATACAATATGGCTGGCTTCTCGTTCTCCTCGGCTAAGATGCGATGATGGCTGAGCTGATCGAGAGACACCAGATCGGGCTCCTCTAGTTTCAATGTGACCGCATTGTGCAGGCAGAGACCCTTCATGCGTGCGACATCGTCGGAAATGGTGGCCGAGACGAGCACCGCTTGATAAATGGGCGGCAAAAGTTTGATTAACTTTTTAAAGTCCTTCTCATAGCCGAAGGCAAAGATTAAATCTGCCTCATCCACGACCAAGGTTTCGATGTGCTTCAGGTCGACTATGTCTGCATGGGCCAATATCTTTGCGGGCGTTGAAACCACAATGTCTGGACGCTCGGCGAGTGCATGGCGTTGAGTGGCCGCGTCATTGGAGCTGCCTGCAATGTCTGTTACACGCACCACCTTGCCACATGAGTCGGACAGTTGTTCGATCACCTGGCGAGATTGCCGGCACAGTTCTTTGGTGGGACAGAGCACCAAGGCGCTGACACACTGTTCGCTGGAATTCAGCTTGGAGTTGAGAATCTTTTGGATGAGCGGCAGCGCATAGGTGGCCGTCTTGCCGGAGCCAGTACGAGCACGCACCACCACATCCTTGCCCTCTAGCAGCAGTGGAATGGCCGTCGACTGGATCAACGTTGGTTGCACCCAACCCAACTGCGCAATAGCCTGATTGAAAAGGGTAATTGGGGTTAGATAAGGCGCAAAAATTAGTTATATATAATAATTTGTTACCTTTAGTATGCGTTGGTCTAGCTCCAGTTCATGGAACTGCAGCAATTCCTTAGCTTGGCTCATTGTGCTCGCAGGAATTATTCGAAATGCGTGTAGCGTGCAGTCGGCAGCATGCGAAAAGGTAGCACAGTGTTGAGAAAGGTACAAAAAAGTGACAACTTATCGATGCTACACATTTAAAATATAAATATATTTAATAGCTATGCAAGTATGCTTGACACTTGCATGCTAAGCTAAAAATATTATTATTGTATATTAAACCTTATTTACGGATATTATTCTACTATTTTAATACACATTTAGGGATATTAAAAACATCGATATATTTAAGCGATCCCGATACAGAGCTGCAAAACATTTAACCTGTCTCTGCTACTAATATGTATATTAAAAAATATAAAGCTATTTTTACTTTTCTAACTCTTTTATTTCAACGTTGATATGCATTTAATTTTACAAAAGATATGCAATGAGTGTTGAGCAACTATCGATTACTTGCACATGCTTACCTGCAGCGACATCTGGCGGTTTGAATATTAAAGTGTTTGCTCGATACTATCAAATAATCGATATTAACTATGATAATATAACGGCTAAATAAAATTTAATCATAAACCGTTTGAGAAAATTAGTATTGAAGGTTTATTTTTTAGGTTTTTGTATTTTATTTTCTATTCAAAATAAAAACTACATAAATTGATTTTAAATTTTCTTTTTTTTTTTTTTTTTTTTTAATAGAAAAAACAAGTGTGTGTGTATATGTGTGTGTGTAATATGTTGTTTGTATGTGTATGTGAGAGAAGTTGTATATGGGCTCGTGTGTATCATACAATTCTGCATTATTTTAATATTAATGACGGCATATGACATTGACATAGACATTGGCCGCATACATAAATACTTTTTATGTAGTTATTATATAATATCAATTTTGGAATCATTCTTAAATATTTTATGGTTTTCTCATGTTTTATTTATATATTTATTATTATTATTTTTTTTTTGTTTTGGTTTTTTTTTGTCTGTAACCAAAATGCTTCTAAAAGTTTTCGTCACTTTTCTTTAGTCTCTAAGTATTGTTTCGTTATCTCACTCCAACATTTTTGTTTTGTATTTAAGGGCATACACCATAATAACCATAATAATAATAGTATTTTATAATAATCATAATAATAAGCCAACCAGCGAATAGATTGGCATCAATTGAATATTTTACATTAACTAGTCTGGACCTTTTCAAAATTAGCCATGTTTTTTCCTCTTGTTTTTTTGTTTGTTTTTTTTTTTTTTTTAATTCTTATAATTTAATTTAATTTTATTTTTTTGTGTTTAAGCTGGGCTTTATTTGATTTTTATATATAAATATTTTTTGGAAAGAAGTTGAGTTGATGTAAGAAATAGGTGCACTAATCGATAGGTAATATGTATATATGAATATTTTATGAATGACTTAAGATGCAAGCGATTGTGAAAAAGCGGCCAAGCATATTTGAAATATTATATACCCTATATACTATGAAATATGAGAACGGTCTATGCGTATGTGTGGGAAGAGAAGCATAAAAGAAATCAAATGAAAGAAACAAATATAATAGCTGTGTATTACCCATTGGTCCGTGTTTACCTTGGATACATATACATATATACATATACGATACATATGTATATAATATGATCTGCCAACAGAGCAACTACATAAAGTCTGGTCGAAATTTCATCAATTGGTGCCGCAAGCCAAGCCAATTAAATCGAAAGGATATGTCTCCATTTGGAATGGAATTAATTAATTAGTTCATTATTAATATTATTATTATGATTTGTAAATATCTGGGGGTAACAACTACTCATACACATATAAATAAATATGTGTATATATCGATTAGTTTCATGTGCTATATCTTTGAAAAACTTAAAAACTTAACAATTCCAACTTTTCGCTTTCGCTCTCGCTCTCTTATTATCATCAAACATAATTCGTTAACTTTTTGCGGAAAATAAATGAATTTCATTCTGTTGTTCTTCTTCCTCTACCTTTTTATCTCACTCTATGTTTAAAACTAATTGCATCCAAGAATGTTCCAATGATCCCAACTGATATGCCGTACGATTTCAAGAAGCTACAACCATTCACATCAAGCATTATATACAATATATAAGGAAAGAATGTGGGGCTGTGGGGGGTGGGTGGGGGAATGTTGGGAAATGCTTGCTTTATATATAAATATTTATCTGGTATAGCCAACGCAAACCAAAAAAACACGGCCACAACTCATAAATTTCAATTTGCAAAATGAAATTTTCTTTAGTTTTTCATTTTCTTTTTTTTTTTTTAAGGTTTTCAGAAGTTTTTACCTTCTGTATTTCGCATACGCCCTTAGATACGATCTATGTGTGCTACATCTGACTCGTAGTGTATCGTTACATCTCTTAGACTTACAACTAGAGTATTCATTTATGCTATGTACGTTTAAACAACCCATTGATTAGAGTAAAAGTTGAAAATGCAATCCTGGACAAGATTCTTAGATTTTCAATTTTCATTTTTGATTTTTGTTTTCGTTTTCGTTTTTTTTTTTGGTTTATGCATTTTCTCATTTTCCACTTGCACTAAAACTTATTCAAGTTTTTCTTGTTTTCAATTGTTATTATTATTTTTGTTTTCATCCTGTTCTGTTCTGCCTAGCCAGAATGTTGTCATCGCTGAAAAGGCTTGATCAGAGCGAATACTATAAAAAACACAACCATAGTTAGGGGACTGGACATGAATCGAGTCCCATTCGCATGTTGCATGGCCGCTGGCTCCTCACCTGAAAGCAAATCGGAATCATTTATGTTATATATAATGGCATTCGCTCTAAAACTGCCTGTCAAAGTTAATGTTAGCAGTATTTCTCTAGGTATTTCTGGTAATATGTTTCTAAGATCCACTCTTGACATGCGCCTTGCATCTAAATAAGCTTCAGCTATTTGGCAAACACTGTTCTGTAAATTTGACGATCGCATAAGCTGCTAGTTAAATTTTGACATCTACCTTATATGAAGCAAAGTCAGATCTTAAGTAGGAGTCAACACAGTTTCTTTTGAATTGTGAATTGTGAATATTTCAGTTTATATTTGTATTTATAATCCAAGAATCATTTCAATTTAAGTTTCTGCCTATCAAACAACGGTTTTTATATAGTTTTATTTGACATGCAGTCAAATATATATATCATTTTCTAAAGACGCTTTTCTTAACTATCTGTCAATTTTCTGCCACAGTCAACATGCTTGACATGCAGCTTAAAGTCAAAGTTATCTTCCATTCGGACTTACCGTTAAGCACATGCACTACAACAGTTTCTGTTATCTCATTGCCCAGCATGCAGGTGTAGTTGCCCGTGTCCTGTCGATTCGCGTTGGCTATGTAAAGACGACTCAATGCCCTGCCGGGCAGCATGTCTGTCTTAACACTAAGTAGGGATAGATGCAGAGGGACATAGGATTAGAGCATATAAGTATGCACATGTATATATATATAGGATGGGAGTAGGAATAGACCTACCTAATGCCACCTCGACTGGTATCGTAGTTGAGCGAGCGCTGGCCGTGCCGCCAGGTGATGTAGGACGATGGATGCGGTATCCTTGAGATGACGCACTGTAACTCGATGGTGCTGCCAGCCTTGTAGTACTTCTCGGGCGTGGCCGATCCTCGCTCGTCGAGAATTTCCACATGAGGAACTGCAATGTCACCGACGAGTCATCGTTATGGGTCACAGACATACGATATTCTCCTGGGACTTACCAATTATAGTTAGGTAAACGAGCAGCACCAGCGGTGGGTGTGAGGACACTTGGCACTCGTATGGTCCCTCGTCCCGCTCGTTGGCATATTGTATCAGTAGCTTCCAGTCGTTGGGCTCCTCGAACTCCAGCGAGTAACGCGAATCGCCGCTGTACGTGTGCTGGCCGAAGGTGATCAGAGTGAGGTCCTCGCCCTTGCGCCGCATCCAGGACACCGTCTTGCCCTGCAAATCGTTGACGCGACAATGCAGATAGACATTCGAGGAGAGCTGGGTGCTTATATTAATTGTCGTATACGGGTCGGCGAAGAACGGGAATGGCTCGTGCGTGGTCGTCTCCGTGACCTCCAGCTCCTCATCTTCAGGCGTGTCTGTGAAGGGCGACGAGAACTCCTGCCAGAAGTTTTTCGGAAACGTATCAAACGGGTCTCCTGCTCGTGGACGTTTTACTGCAAACGGAAGTAAAATTTGTATATATGTATGTATATGTATGTGTATAAATATTGTATGAGTGTATGCAACAGGCGGCAGGCCACAAATCGATCAAACTCGATTTTCAGATTTCGTTTCTTTGGCATAACTCGGAAACTTTAAGAGGTATGAGCTTTACGTTTGGTATATAGCCCCGAATGAAGTGTTATCAGGTTCAATATATCATCTTTCTCCGATACTTCCCTTGGACAACAAGCTTTGGCAATTTGAATGCAAATTTTAATGATATGTAAATGAAAATTGGATGAAAATGCAAATGAAAGAAAATGGCACGGTTGACGAAAATCGCTTAAGTTTTGTGTGTTTACTTCAATCGAGATCAAACTGATAAACAAATTTATTCATAGAACTTAAAAATTATAAATGTATCTATGAACCGAATCGAGTCTGAATGTAATCGAGGTAAGTAACTGTTTCAAGTCTTAAGTCTATGTGGCTCTATAAATGTAGATAGGTGTATACATTTGTAAATAAATAAATATATAAGTATGCAGATATCGTTATATAAGGCTAAAGATATATAAGTAAAATTATTCCGATTATAATACATTTTGATCTTTGATTCAAATCTATAAACTTTGAGCTATACTATATCTTTAAATATATAGACATATTAATTAAATCTGATTATACGCATTTCCACAAATCTCATAAATTTAGATTTACCTAAACTTCAATTCAAAGTGCTCAGTGAGAAGAATACGAAGAATAATCTGAGAACTTACATGTCGTCGATGTAGAACCGGAGCCTATGTGATGTACCGATGAATATATAATTGCAAATATCCAAAATAATCTAGATTTCATCACTGTCATACAAAGATAGAAAATGCAAATATCAGAAATATAAATACATAGAGACATGCATGTATGTGTGTGTATATTGGGCATCGTCTATAACTCACCTAAGCATATGCGCACACAACAAATGTACTCGAATCCAATTAGAATATTTGATTTACGTTTTATCTAATCAGCGACATCTTCTTGACACGCTTTTGCTCTTGCTTGCCTTTTCGCTCCACCTCTTTCCTCTTATTTTCTTTTCTTTTCACTGCTTTTTTTGTTGCTGCCGATTGCTCCTGAATGCAATTTGTATTTATTTGTGATTTCGTATCCTTCACTGTCTGCTGCTTAGCATATTGCGATTTGCGTGAGTGGAGGAAGCTGCATGGATTGAATCTCTCTTTTTCACTGTGCGAGATGGAAGTAAAAAGGTTTTTTATTAGCTGCACAATTTCTTTGTCCCAGAGCTGTCTGTCGGTGTGTGTGTGTAGTGTGTGTGTGTATGTGTGTGTTTGTGTGTTGATTTCAATTTCAGTTTGTATTTTTCTTTTGCTATTTCAATATTTTTTGCTTTTTGGTTTTTTTTATGGTGAGAGCTATTTGGATGCTGCTTAGATGACCAATAATTGGAATGTAGGTCAGGTTGCGATATGCGCATGCCACAATAGTCTACTCTACTCTACTCGGCTCTCCTCTCCCCTCCCTTCCCATCCTCTTCCCTGATTTGCTCGTTTCTGTGAGCTACTCAACTCCAATCAGAGAACGTTTAATGAGCTCTCAAGTTTTCGATATGAGGCATTTCTTATTGGATTTAAGCACAGTTAGTGCACTTATTGTATATTTAAATTTTAATTTTAATGGCAATAACACTTAACAACAGGCAAATTCCACGTAATATTCTTTTATTTATACAAACTGACTTTTGTTATAAAATGCATGCATTTTGGTTTTCATTTCATTTTCATTTGTCGCTGGGTATTGCTCACTTTTAATGATATCATAATAGAATCTATGCCCATGTTGCAAGCGCCGGCCCGCCGAGACAACGTTGTTGGTTCGCACGCAATTCACACGAGACTGCAGGAGCAAAGGATTCGGGATTCCGTTTGCCAATTATGTGCCCTGCCAATTGCTTCCTTGCTTTCTCTCTCCCTTCCTCTCGATGGGCTTTTATCTGTTGGCAGAAGATGCCAGCATGCTTTACGCTATAGGGGCTGCTGTGGCGCCAACAGCACAGAGTTGCCAGACCGCTGGAAGTAGCTTAAAGGAATATAATAATATTAAATTATTCTAATTTACGATTTCATTCCTTCTCTTAAATACTTCTTTCATATACATATGTATATTTTGTTTCCTTTTTAGTTATCTGGCAGCTTAATAGTATGCAACTGTTATTGCTTACAGCAGCGCCATCTAGTGTGCTTTTTTGTTGCCAGGCAAAAACACTGTCTCAGACGTCGATGTTTTACTTGTTCATTACGAAAACAAACTTTAGGATATAAACAACTATTCAAAACACCACTCTATAATATATAACCTAAATTCAAGCAGATCACAAATATTGCATATGCAATACCAACTGCTGCGCCATCTAGCGGGCTGTTTTGTTGTCAAGCTAACACTGTCTTAGGATTCGCCGTTACGCATAAATTTGTAATCTTCTTTTGATAAGTGCACGCCAAAATTCGAGCAATCAAACCCACACACACACAACATCAAAATCGCAGTTTAACGCGCGTAAAGAATTATCGTCATCGGTTTGTTTTGATTTGAATTGTTGCTGTTGTGGCTGCTTCCTGCGCATGTGCAATTCCAGTGAGAGAGTAAGCATAGCTGCGCGTTTCTGTGTGTGCGTGTGTGTGTGTGAGCACATGTGCCCCTTATCGCTTAGTTGTTTTCAGTGGTGGTGCGATATGGCAAACCGAAATTTGTGAGAGAGCACGAGTCGCAGCCGAGCACTCACATTTGCACTCACTGACACACGCACACACACACTCATATGAGCAATTATGCTCAGTCGGCAAAAATAACCGTTCATTTCATTTTCCGCGTCATCGTTGGCATTTCATGCAGCGATTTCTTCAAATTTTCAATAAGACATTTCGCTGCCCACCATTAAAGCAAAGGCTAACCAATAAGAAAATTGTTCTTTTTATGTAGATTGGAAACGTGCGCGATACTGCTTTGAATATTAAGCAGCCACGCCGTAAATTTAATGCCAGACATTCAGTGAATTTATAAAATTCAATTGACGAACTCTGCCGAAGAGGGCAGAGCAGAGCAAAGCACAGCACAGAGCGGCACAGCACGGCGCGGTTGGCGTAGCCTATAGTAACCCATCGTCATATACACAGTGACGCGGGCAGCGCTGCTCATTGTGGCAGCGATTCGACTGAGCTTCCTCCACCCAGCGATTGTATTTAGGCAGCAAACGGAGTCCGAGACGACAGCAACGCAGCAAACGCAGCGGCTGTTCTTCCTCTTCTTCTTATTACTACAACTACTACTATTTGTCATTTTGTTGGAAGCTTTGAAAACATTGCAGTGCAATGGAGGAACATTCGCGTGTTTTAAGCATTTTGGGCGGCATTGCTATGAGCATTGTCGGCTTTCAGATCTGCCGCAAAGTCTTGCCCTGGATCTATGCAAATGTGCTGGGCCCCAGGCTGTGCGGCCCCTCGGTGAATCTGGCCGAGATGGGCGAATGGGCAGGTGAGTGGAGTACAGCCAGGCGGCTGCCATTTGCACTTTGTGCACGGCGCTGCGATAAGCGTAGTTCACAGTAACTGATAACGTTTGCCCCATTACTCAACCTGTTAATATTTCGTTCGTCTATTGCAGTTGTCACCGGTTCCACGGACGGCATAGGCAAAGCATACGCCAGGGAGGTACGTACGCAAGCGAGGGATGCATTGTGGCAGCTCTCAATAAGATTATAATTGGAGCTAGTTGGAGCCAGTCTCATAGAAAGTGCAGATTTAGCTTTAGATGTAGGCTACCATTATGTCATGCTGAATGCGGGCACATTATATATATATATATATTCCTGATCAATATAACAGATATGATCATGCGAGTTTCATGAAACTGTTATACCGAATGTAGCCTAGTGTCGGTTTTTTTTACTTGTATTGCTATCGTCCATCAATTACTAACTTTATTATGCTCCTAACCTAACAGTAAAACTATACTATCGTACTAATAATGTAAATAGGCATAGAAACTATATTATCGTCTAACAATATACATAGGCATTCGATTTCGAGCTCTTTTATGCAAAAACTCTTAAAGAGGCTACATAATCTTTACAATCTCTATATATAGCAGTCAATGAACAGTTTCGCTAGGGTATTTAATACTTTGTTTGGTTTTTTGCATATCAAAGTCTACGATGACTTGACCAATTCTGCAATGTAAAAAGCATATAAAATTAAACAACAAAAAATTTCTATAGAGAGTACAAAAAAGAGATGCAATTAACGATTTGCCAATTGAATATTAAGGCTAAGCTAGGCTGGGCTAGGGCTTAAACATTGCAAACATGACTCAGCTCTCAGTTCTATAGACTAAAGATCTCTGCTTTTTCAAACGCGCCAATGCACTTGGTTGCAATTTCGTCAAGTGCTAATTTTCTATTAGGCAGCTAAGTGCGATCACAGGTGACAAAACTTGGCAAATAATTTGTAGAGCTTTGTTTTCTGTTTGCTCAACTGCCCTGCAGTTGTTGACATTGCACTGTTCAATATTCAATATTCAATATACAAAATTCAATATTCAGCATTCAATATCCAATATCCAATATTCAGCGTATTTTGTGGTTCAGCTGCTGCTGTCAGCACGCGAATAGAAACAATTTGTTTGCTATGCCCAGAACTTTGGAACACACCAAAAAGCGAGTCGCGCCGCTTGTTGACACTGCGTTCACATATGATCTCTCGATCGCCTGTTCAGCTACACTACATCTGGGGCTTATGTTTCCCTTTCGATACAATTAGTATTCGATATACCCATTCAATTCTATTTAATTTCGTCGTCTTCCGCGTCTATATCTATATATATATATATATATATATATACTACCTGACTTCGTGGGGTCACTAACAAAACCGTTTCGTATTTCAATTAGTTGTGCCATTTATTTATAGATAGTCTTGAAGTGCTTGTGGGTTTACTTGCAAGTGTTACTAGAAAATGTTCGATATAATCTATTCTTATCATTTGATTTCTTTAATTTTACTGTCATTAGGGTTCTATTGATAAGGAAATTCCATTTGTATATGTAACAACTAGTCGTAGAGCATAAAAAATTTGTATATACATTATATAAATATATTAGTTATACATTAGCTATAATTATATAGAAATATAGTTATAACTATAATATAGGACTTATATAGGAGAGATATTGTTGGATATATATTATACATATCAAATACTTACTATCTACATTTATACAAATTCCTTCATCCTATGTAGATCTTCGAAATATCATAAATATGCTGTATAAAACAGAATATTGAATATTTAGATGGATGTTTATGTATACATAGCTAAAGTAATCCTAAGTGTTACTCACATAGCCAAGATTTATAAACATTCTAAGCACTAACATCTACAGATCTTAAGCGACCTTCAATCTATCATAAAACTCAACTAAGTTATTGCATATTTATTTTCTAGTTGGCGCGCAAGGGACTGAAATTGGTATTGATTTCGCGATCCTTGGACAAGCTGAAAACAGTAGCCAAAAAGATTAGTAAGACATGCATATATGGCTAATAGTATAAGCCTGGTTTGTTAACTCAATTCTGTGGCATACTTGCAGGCGAGGAGTTCGGCGTCGAGGTGCGCGTCATCAATGTGGACTTTACCAGCGGCGTGGATATCTACGACAAGATACGCCAGCAGACAGCTGGACTGGATGTGGGCGTCCTGGTGAACAATGTGGGCATCAGCTATAGCTATCCCGAATACTTTTTGGACTGCTACAATGCCGATCCGAAGTTTTTGTGCAATATCGTTGCCGCGAACATACATTCCGTTACCCACATGACGGCCATCTTCATGCCAGCCATGGTGCAGAAGCGCAAGGGCGTGATCATCAATTTGTCTTCAACAGCGGGCGTCATACCCAATCCCTTGCTCAGTGTCTACAGCGCCACAAAGGTGAGTGGACTCATACTAGAGAGTCATACTCGATGTATTTAGCTGACATATGATCTGTAATTCATTTATCCAATTGTGTTTGGCAGGCATTTGTGAACAAGTTCAGCGATGATCTGCAAACTGAGTACAAAACCGATGGCATAATTATACAGAGCGTGCAGCCTGGCTTCGTGGCCACCAACATGTCGAAGATAAGTAAGGCGAGCGTGTTTGCGCCCACGCCTGAAACGTATGTAAAATCAGCTTTGGCGACGCTTGGCATTGCCACTCAAACTGCTGGATATTTGCCACATGCACTGCTTCAACTGGTCATACATTTTACAGAGGCTGTGTTCGGTGATCAGTTTGCTAGAAACGAAGTTCTTAAGAATATTTTAGGTACACGTAAGCGCGCCCTGCGTCGCCTCGCTAAGGAGCGATAGAAGCAATTCATTTCCATGTAATCATATCCCAAAAA